AGTCATAAAGTGGGAGTATTGTCAGTAAGGGAAGGACCGGGACTCTAAAGAATGGAGGTTTAGCCAAGTCACAGGTGCAAGGTGCAGGGGATCAGGAGACCCAGAGAGCCAGGAAATAAGACAAGTACTACTATCTCAGGGTTCAGTCTACAAAGATGGCTCTCTCTCTCTCTTTGGATGTTCATCAACAAGAGCATGTCCATAGGAGAAACGTGAGACGTAGAACGATTACAAATCAATGACAAAAGGAATCCTATTTTGTCCAAGTTGATGGGAGAAACTTGGATGAAAATAAAGAATATGATCAGGGTTTCAAAATCTTTAGTAAATAAAGTACATGACCATCTATTAGTAATGTAGATGACAGAAACAACAGACACCAGCTCCCAAATATTTCTCTTCCAAGTTTATACACTGATGAGAAAACTTTACATTTTCAAAATATTGTACTACTTCTACATTTAAAAAAAAATTGGTAAAGTCTACTAAGTAACAGTTAAAAATACCCCTTTGACAATCAAATGAATGAAAATTTAATCAAAATTTGTAGAGCCACTTTTTGTACATGAAAATATTTAACTCAGTTCAATCTTGCGACAGGGTAAAGGTTTTCAAAGTATGAGGGCAGATGAAGGTGGATATTCATTTTACAAAAATTTTTAGATTCCTTTAAATAAGATCCTTTACATTTTATATGATGTGGTTTACATAATATGTTTTAAGAATAGATTTTTCATGAAACAAAGTATGCTCATGTGCTATGGTATGAATATGAAGAGTCCTCCAAAGGTCCAAGTGTTAAAGGGGGTGGCTCCCAGGCACTACTGGTAGATGCTGTGGACCTTTAAGAGGTGAGGCCTAGTGGGAAGTCTTTCAGTCTTTGGAGTGGTGCCCTCAAAGGGGATTGAGGAGTGCTGGCCCATCCTGTCTCTCTCTGCTTCCTAGCTTGTGATTTGAGCTGTATGCTCTGACCCCCACTCTCCACCATTGCCATCCAGTTAGCTCACCAGCTGCCCAAAGTGATGAGGTCACTGATCTTGGACTGGAACCTCCAGAACTGGGCGCTAAAAAAATCCTTTATAAATTAATTGCCTCAGGGGGCTGGGGATGTGGCTCAAGTGGTAGCCTGCTCGCCTGGCATGCGTGGGGCGCTGGGTTCGATCCTCAGCACCACATAAAAAAAAAAAAATTTAAAATGTTGTATCCACCGAAAACTGAAAAATAAATATTAAAAAATTCTCTCCCTCTCTCTCTCTCTCTCTCTCTCTCTCTTAAAAAAAAAATTGATTGCCTCAGGCATTTCATCATAATAGCAGAAAGCTGACCAATACAGTACGTTAAATTATTTTGCCTTAACAGACCTACCAGTCCAAGAGCAAATGTAATCTGTACAATTCTTCCAGATAATTTACTACTTCTTTGGTGATTCTGAGTTTCCTAATGGCTCAGCATGAAAACTGCTACTGTACTCAACAGGAAAATTCTTCAGCAAGTGCAATCAAAACCTTTCAAGAGACAAATCTGGAATTCTGCCCAGGTGGACTTATTTTCTGCATGTGGGGATGGTGTGCTGAGTGAATACATCTCTAATTGTAAATATGATATATTTTCCATTGGCCTCCAAAGGTTTTCAAGTATCCCTATTAGTAAAATAAGTGAATAAATCAAGATATGTATATACTTTAATAGATATATAAATGTATTCTTATTTAAACATTATATTTTATTAAAAATTTCTTAGATGGATAGTAAAATATAAATTTATGATCAATTATCCCCTATCCCCTGCTTCCCTAATGAGCTGTCTTGTGAACCATTCTGTTTGGATACTGCTTATAGAACTTCTAGAGAGACCAGGAGAAATTTTATTCATAAACAATGAGTTCAGGAACAAAACTATAAGACCACAAGGAAGAAAAATCTGCCAACAGCAAAGGCTTCAGTGATGCAATGAGGTCAATCTGCAACTTGTAAATTACAAAGTTATTTACTGGTTTCTGTTAGGCTGAATCAAATTATAAAATAGGTCTAAATCTTAGAAAAGAATAAAGAAAAGGACCCATTTTGGTAGGTCACATACATTTAACCAACGAGTGAGTACCAGATGTTAGGTATACATAAAAACAGTCTATTCACTAATTCATCTAGCATTAATTGCATGACCATTATGTACCTGGCAGTCCTCCAAGTAATAATTATATTTACATGTATCGTAACAAGATCTTTCTTTAGATATGAGAATTGCAGGTAATGAAGAATGAATTTCTAAATTATTTTAAGATGAATACCACATGAATAGGTTGGCACACATGCAAATTTAAAGTGAAATTCTTTTTAATTATCAATTCTGTCTTTTGCTAGAGTTAAGACTAAAATTTTTTCCAACAAATATAAACCCAGTTAGCATCTGGCACAAGGACTAGCATGTAGTAAGCATTCGATACCTATTTGTTAGAGAAGTGAGGGGAAAGGGGAAAAGGAAGCGGTGAGAACCAGATAAAACAAAGAAGTCTGAGCCACAGAGAAAGGGACATCTCACTGTTCTGGAAGCATGGTTTGTAACTACCACCACTGTGCTTCTTGTGTCCTGGAAACCCCATCAAATGCTTGTGGTCCCGTCTGACAGCCTAATCTGTATTTAGAAACAGCATGTAATTCAGCACCCCGAGACTCAAAAGGAGAGTCAGATCTAACAGATACATGCCTCTGCATTTAAAAGTCTGTTAACTTTCAGGTTTATGATAAAATAAAAATTATTTTCTCTTACTATAAAAGTAAAACATGCTCTTTAAAGAAAATTTGTAAAATACATGAAAATAAAACTAACACATTACTATAATTCCACTTCCCAAAGAAAACCACTATTAACATCTTACATATTAAATTAGCTCAAAATTTTAAAACCCCTGTGGTTTTAAAATTTTGAGCTAATTTAATATGTAAGATGTGACTTTCTATAATTCCATGTGAGGCTCATAAGCAACAAAAGTGAAAGAACAAAAATGAAAACCCACAGTAGAGTAATTCCAGCCATGTTTAATGAGGCAAGATTCATGGCCTGAAAGTTTCCAAATTAAGCTATCATGATATTTTGATCCATAAGGAACAACACTTTGTTTTAGTTATCTCTGTTCTGCACCAACTGTGGTACCTAGCACATAATATTCACTCAGTAGATGTTCATTGAATAAACATCCTAAGAGAGTCAGCATGTTTTTCTTTTCAGAGTCTATGATCATACCGCGTCACTCCCCACCTCCTCCCCAGCAAAGCCATCCTGGCGTTCCCTGCCTTTACTTCAGCTTCAGCAACAGTCAGGAGCCTGCTGTAGCCCAAAAGCGACACTGCGATCCCCCCCCAGTAACACCAAGTTATGTTTCACTCACTCCTCACAATTCAGCTCAGATGTCATTCTCCTCAAGAAGTTTCCCCAACCCTTGTTGCCCATCCTTGGGCTGAGCTAAGTGCTATAATTCAAGTTCCCATAACACCTGCAAACAATGCAAGTGACACAGTGCATAAAACTAGCCACTAGAATGGTTGTTCATTTGCAGGCTGTCAGTTCTTGAACTTTCTATCTTTATATTTACAAACACCTGCAAGGTTCCACAGTATTTACTGAACAAATGAGAGACTGAAAGAATGAACAAACAACTCCTTTTTTGTTCTACTTTTCATTTCTTTAATTTATTCCTATTTGTTTGGTTAGCTGTTCTCTCACATTTTTTAATCTTAAAAATGAATACCCACCATGTATTAAAGATAAATTAAAAATGAGAAGAATGCAACAACTGAGTTCAGCTTTCTCTTCAAGCCAAAAAGTATCCCTTTCTATCTTAAGATTAGCGCTCAGTAAACAGCGTCACCACTGTTTTCCCCAAAGTTCTCACAAAAGAATCAGGCATAACTGTCACACATTCCCACTCAATGCGTTATTTATATCTACTCTCCTTTCTCCCCAAGAAGACGCGAAGGAGACCCTGATGACTTGCTATACTGATGCCATCAGATCTGCTCCTTTCCACTTCTAGAGCCTCTGTCTTTAACCTCTTCCCATCTAGTCTCCTGTTACATCAAAGGAATAATTTAGTATGCTCAAAACTGAGCTACATACATACAGTTAATTCCTATTTCCTACCATATAGGATTCAAATTATGCAGAATCTACATTCCTATTGTGGCTTGTAAAGCTACCCATTCCACAATCAGACCTACTAGTACTCTCTACCTTATTTCCTCTATTTAAGAAAATATATTTCCTTGTGTTTCAGGTATTCATTTCCCATTGAAGCCAGGGATATATTCCTGCTACGCAGCATAGAAAACTTGCAAATTTCTTCATTGCTTTCTTTGTGCATGCATTAGCATTTTCCCCATTCTCTTTGTTCCTCAGTTTGTCTTTGAAATCCCTATTTACCTCTCTCCTCTCTAACAAAGTCTGATTACCTCCAAGGCACAGGAATTGCTCCTTTACTATGTAACACTTTTGACATTTGAACTTTATCTGAACATCAATATTTTGGTCCTTACCTGTTTGTTTCTCTGCAAGTCTAAGCACTCTAAGAGATCTTCATATGTGTACTCTGAGATCATTGACAAGTGACAAGTTCCATTGCTCATATTTACTTATGGATCTCAGATGATGTCACCATATTGATATTCTTCACATTTAGAGCTCTATTTATGTCTTTCCTATGTCAAAGGATAATACCTTAATTTCTATTATAAAGTTTGCAAAATGTACTTGGACAATTTAACAAAAAGAAACAATAAAAAAGTACCAGAATAAATGCTTCTATATATTCTATATTGTCTCAAGGCTAGTAAAAATTATTTTTCTTGGAACATTACACGATGTTATTATTCAAAATACTATTGATTAAAGATGTTGGTATACATTCACTTTCAAATTATTTTTAAAAGAATAAATAAAAAATAGCAAATCTGTTTAAATATTAAGTGAATGAATAATACAAACTAGATTAATAATTACAACTCACAGGATCTGCAGGTCCACAGAATTCTCGAAATGTCTTCGTAGAATTATTCTGTTGAATCTCCATTGCTACGCAAGGGCCAGAATACAATTCTGTCACCATCTCCTGTGATGTACAATATAAAAGAATCAATACAATTTGATGATATTTTACCCCTTCTCTTTTAATTGTGCCACTATTCCACTAATTCTTCAGAGTTAAAAGTTACCTTTGGCTTCTTTTCCTATCTGTATCACACACACTAGTAGTTCCTATCTCCTTGAACCCAGTGCTGACAAATTCACATATAAAAACAAAATGTTTCTCCTGAAGAAGCTTTTAAAAACCATAATGCATTCCAGCAACAAGGAATAACAGGGGCCAGATTTATTTTCCCACCTTATATTTCTAGAAACTAGACAAAATATATGAAACAACAGTTTTCAGATTCTGGACAACAGGCACCATAGACCACAGTCCTCAGGAGAAGGGAAACAATAAAGTAAGACACACAGTTGCCCCACTGCAAATGTTATTAAAACAAAAACAAACAAAAAGCACTGGATGGGGTGACTAGGATAAGACACTGCTAACGAACAATGAATCTGAAGACAGGGAACAGAAACTGTTCAAAAGCAAGCATGAAAATAAACAGCAGCACATCTGTCAATCTAAATTCTCAAAAACAAAGGAAAAATAAAGACTTTTCCAGAAAAAGAAGAGCTGGGAGATTCACCACCAATAGCCTTTTACTATAAGAAATGTTAAAGGAAGTTCTTCAGGAAGAAGGGAAAAAATGCCAGACAAAAATGGAGATCTACACAAAACTCTACTAAACTTGTGGGTGAATATAAACACATTGTCTTTTTTTTTTTTTAGTTGCTTAAGAAGATAATCATTTAAAGCAAAAAATATTAAGAGTGTACTGTAAGAAGTAAAATGTTCTAGCACAGCAGCACAAGGAGGGAAACACAGGTACACTGATTAGCACTTCAATTCTGCACATGAAACAGCACATGAAATACACAATCAGGGGTGGCCTCACAGATCTGGAACACCCAGTGAATCTTCCCTCCCCCTCAGTATACTGCAGGTAAAAGGGAAACAAACATGAGACGGAGGCAGAACAACAGTGTGGATATATGAAGATCAAAAGTATCAGGAAGGAGAGAAACCCAGGAGGGAAATGAGAGGACGTCAGACCACGCAGGCCATGTGAGACATTTTGATGATACTGGAGTGTTTATGATGCAAATGCCATAATTTTATTCCCTTTTAATGCTGAGTAATATTCCATTGTGTATAAATACCACAGTTTTTTTTTATCCATTCATCTATTGAAGGGCATTTAGGTTGGTTCCACAGATTAGCTATTGTGAACTGAGCTGCTATAAACATTGATGTACCTGTGTCCTACAGTATGCACATTTTAGTTCTTTGGATTTATGTCAAGTTGTTGGATAGCTGGGTCATATCACCATTCCTAGTCTTTTGAGGAATATCCCTACTGCTTTCCAAAGTAATTGGGCTAAACTGTAGTCCCACCAACAATGTGTATCTTTCCCCTCACATCCTTGTCAGCATTTATTGTTATTTTTATTCTTGATGACTGTGGAGTAAGATGAAATCTCAGTGTAGTTTTGGTTTGCATTTCCCTGATGGCTAAAGACATTGAACATTTTAAAAATATATTTGTGGGCCATTTGTACTTCTTCTTCTGAGAAATATCTGTTTAGTTCATTTGCCCATTTACTGATTGTGTTATTTGGGGTTTTGGTATTAAGTTTTTTGAGTTCTCCATATATTCTGAATATTAATCCCCTGTTAGAAAAGTAACTGGCAAAGATTTTCCCCATTCTATAGGCTTTCCCTTCATGCTCTTGTTTCATTTGCTGTGCCATCCTATCTGTTGAATCTGGTTTTATTTCTTTAGCTTTGGAGTCTTATTAAGGAAGTCAATGCCTGTGCCAATATGTCAGAGTATTGAGCCTACTTTTTTTTTTTTTTTAGAAGTTACAGTGCTCCTGATTGAATTCTTAGGTCTTTGATCTACTAGGAGTTGACTTTTGTGCATGGTGAGAGATAGGAATCTAATTTAATTCTTCTACATATGGTATCCAACTTCCCTAGCACCGTTTTGTTAAAAAGGGTTTCTTTTCTCCTATATATGTTTTTGGCACCTTTGTCAAGTACCAGATGACTGTATCTGTATGGGTTTGTATCTGTCTCTTCGACCCTATTCCATTGTCTTCATGTCTGCTTTTTATGCCAATACTATGCTGTTTTTTATAGTTTGTGTAGTATTATTTGAGAACAGATATTGTGATGCCTCCAGCATCCCTCCTATTGCTTGATATTGCTTTGGCTATTTTGAGTCTTTTATTCTTCCAGATGAATTTAGGACTACTTTTTTCTAATTCTATGAAGAATGTCATTGGTATTTTGATAGTGATTATATTGAGTCTGTATTGCTTTTGGTAGTATGGCCATTTTAACAATATTAATTCTATGTATCCACAAACATGAGAGGTCTTTCCATCTTCTAAGGTCTTCTTCAATTTCTCTCTTCAATGTTCTATAATTTTCATTGTAGAGGCCTTTCACCTCCTTAGATTTATTCCCAATTATTTTATATTTTTAGTATACTATAAATTAAATTGTTCTCCTGATTTTTTTTTCTCAGTAGATTCATTATTGGAATAGAAAAGCTATTTTTTAAAAAATTTTGGATAGCAGGGTCATATAGAAAAGCTATTTTTTAAAATTTTTGATCTTGTATCCTGCTACTTTGCTGAACTAGAAGTCTTATAGATATAGGACCATATCATTAGCAAACAGAGGTAGTTTGACTTATTTTCCTTTTTGTAACACTACAAATTTCCTTCTCTTACCTGACTGCTCTGGATAAAGTTTCAAGAACTATATTGCACAGGAGTGGTGAGAGGAGAGATCCTTGTCTTGTTCCTGATTTTAGATGAAATGGTTTCAGTTTTTCTTTGTTCAGTATGATAATGACCTTGGGCTTGTCATCTATAGCCTTTATAATGTTGAGGTAAATTCCTTCTCTCCCTAGTTTCTTCAGCATTTTTAACTAAACGGGTTTGTTATCATTAATCTTTTCAATAATAGCCATTGTAACAAACAGGAGGCGATATCTCATTGCAGCTTTTGATTTGCATTTCCTTGATGATCAGAAATGTTAAACATTTTTTCATACATCTGTTGGCCAGTCACATTTCTTCTTTTGAGAAATATCTGTTTAGATTCTTTGTCCATTTTTAATTTAGGTGTTTTATTTTCTAACTACAGAGTTGTTGCTTGAGTCCCTGATATATTTTGAATATTAGCCCTTCTCATATGTATAGTATGCAAATCATAATTTAAGAAATACTTTCAAGGATTATAAATTATACTGAGATCCCCAAGATTTGAGACATCCAAATGGTTTTGCTTTAAATTTACTTCAATACTTACATTATATTCTGTCACTACACCTTTATAAACTTCATAGAATTCTTCAACATTAACACGATCCATATTGAACTATATTAAAAAATAAAATAAAACTGTAAGCCCACAAACCAAAGAAAAATAAATGCGCCATTCTTGGCACTCACCATATATTATCCCTTAGATATATTCTTTACTTCAAAATGCAAATTTTTTTGTTTCCTTTTAAATTTGTTTTTATTTATTTGTTTTTAATTGCTTTTGGTTATATACAACACAGGAAACAACCTGACATAATCACAAAAGCAAGGGGCTCGACCTGCTCCAGTTCAGCACTCCCCCACCCGCCTCCTCTACCTCCCCTCCACTGATCCCTCTTCAATCCTTACTCTTTTTCCCCCTAGGCCCAGCACTGCTGCTATCAGAGATAACATTCATACTTTTTTTCTTTAATTAGAGCTTTATCGTTATACACAGTAGTCGGGTTCATCCTGAGTAATCCATACATGCATGGAAATTGATTTCGGTTCCTGATCCTTTCCCTTTTCCCTCCCATCCTTCCTCCCCTCTCCCATTCTCCTTCCTCTGCTCTATTAGACTTCTTTTCATATGTCTATTGATTTATATTTGATTAGTTCTTTATGTTAGCCTATCCTTCCCTCCTCCTTTTCAAAAATGAAAGAAAACATTTGATCTTTGAGTTTCTGAGTTTGGCTAATTTCACTTAGCATGATATTCTCCGTCAAAATGTGAATCTTGAATAATTTCCTCTTTTGTAAAAATGTGCTATTAATTTATAACCTTTGAGTACTTAATATGTCATGCATTATCTAATTTAATTCTCACAATTTTATGGCACAGCTAGATAAGATAAGGCTACTAAGAGTCAGAAGAGCAATGAACCCTTCCCAGATTGCCATTCTGTTCCCAGCAGTCTGATCCCACTGGACATGTTCTTATCTGCTACCCTATACCTATCTGAATAAAACCTCATTCTTGATAAAAAGAACTTATGCAATGTAATATTATTTGTTGATAGATTAGAGGTATAAGAAAGAAATATTACTAAAGAAATGTAATTAGATTTGGTAGAGGGAATGAAAAACACTATTGTTTTTCTCCAAAGAATTCAGAGAAATTCCTAGTCAGGTTTCTAACAAGGCACTTACAAACATCATCTGGACTTGCTACTTCCTTTCATAACATTATGAATAAGAATATGTTTACAAGGTCAGTCCATAACAAGTCATTCCTATGCAGGCTGGACTTAAAGGTAGCTAGTAGTAAAACTTTACACTTCAGATCTCACGAACTAAAACCCTAATATTTTAAAAATTGCCTCTGAATTTTCATTTTATTTTTCCCCCTTACATTGTTTCTCCATTGTTGCCAAGATTAAAGATTACTGAGAAATTTCTTCCCACAGAGACAATACTTCAAGTTGAAAGGATTTATCATCATAGGCAACATTTATTACAGGAAGAGAATTATTTGATATCAATGTTTTATCTTACATTCACACAACTTTTATTAATGTAATGCAATAATAAGAGAAGATATAACCTGTTAAATACTCAGGAATTTGATCTATAAACTCTACAAGGTACTGTGTACAGCTATTTAATTTAATTTTCAGAATAATCCATTCAGACAATTAATGTTTTTAACACCCAGATGAGAAAAGCTAGGGACAGAATGCTTGACCTGTGGTCAGTGTCACATACCTAGAAAGCAGCTGAACTCAGATTCACAAATAGATCTTTCTGGTTCCAAAAGTCAAAGACTGCACTTACCACTACACTCCCAGGCCTCCATCATAAGTTCAACTAATACTTTTTGTCTTGCTATTATTTTCATTAAGTACTATGGCCAATCACTGTGCTCGGTTGTGGGCCTCGAGCTAGGTCAATGTTTAAAGCTAAAATTCCTATAGTTATTATTTTTTAGAGTAGGCGTAGATCCTATAATCACTTAATACATCAACAAGCAACACTTTTAGAAAGTTTTGGCTAAGACTTCTTAACACTCCTAGATAAGATTTCATAATTATTCATCTTCTCATTAGTTTCCAAGTTTTGATTGATGATTTTACAAACTAGTTGATAATTTTTCTTTAAAAAAACTTTTTTATTATAAGGTTACTGAGTTCAGAAAACATTTTCTTTTTAATGCACTGAGTTTAAAAGTGCTCAGAGAGCATTCAATTAAAAAATGTTAAAGATTAGGGGTAGGGGTTTTAGAGTGCTTGCCTAGCATGTGTGAGGCACTGGGTTTGATTCTTAGCACCACAAATAAATAAGTAAATAAAATAAAGGTCCTTCAACAACTAAAAAATTTTTTAAATATTGAAGATTATTTTTTTAATCCTCAATATGTTATGGCTTACTTCAAAGTACCTACCATTTGAATAGCTGAGATTTCAAAACATGCATCTCGAATAGCCATCAGGATCTTTCCCAACAGTCCTGAAAATGAAGAACAAATAGATGCAAAAAAAAAAAAAAAAGTAAAGCATTTTAGTTTTTCGGAAATACAAATTTTCCATATCAACATATTTTGCTTATATTCTACATAATGAAAACACATATTTTTACCACAAAACTAAATCTGTAATACTTAGCATTACATTTAATTATTTGATTCCCCAAGAAAATGTTTCAAGAATATCAACAATGGTCCTAGGATTATGCAAAAAAAAATATTTTTAAGATACTATTTTGCCTTTAAGGCCCCAAAAGTCTAGTGCTATATAGAACATGAAAATCAAATGGTTTAAAATTATATTACAAAAAACCAAAATGCCAAAATATTGGATACAGAAGGAAACCAAAGATGTGTTCAAAGGAAGAGAAAAAATTAAATTATCACTGAAAAGGTGAGCAGAGACTTCAAGGAAATAATAGCATGAATGGCCCTTAAAGGGTATAGATGATGGGCCTCTACAGCCAGAGAAAGCATCCAGGCAAGTGTGGGCATGTTACTGTCACAGTAAGAATGTAGAAAAGAAAGACAAGGCAGGAAAGGGAGGGGACTGAGCCAGGGCGATAAGGCCTTTATCTCACAGACTAGTGATTTCTATGATGGGATCTGTAGACTCTAGGGGCATGGGAATGATTTTAAGATTCTATTTGTTTCCTATACAATCTTCTAAGTTTCTTATTTTCAAGTTGACTAAAACTCTTTTTGTCCTTTTCACCCTGCCCCCCACCCTCATCACACACACATACACACACACACTCACCCCACGTTCTGGTCATCTGGATGCTCACCTAGAAGCCCTGATCACCAGGTGGTACTGGTGTCTCAATGCGGGTTTTAGTTACTACCTTATTGTAGCCAAGTAGTGCCATTTCAATTATAGCAGACTAAGGGATGAGAAAAAGACAGAGGTGGATCTATTTCTTAAATGAAGGGAAGGGAAGGCCAAATGGTACCACAGCATGCTGATGTCTGAATACAGAAAAGCAGTTGAGTCATCACTGAGAACAGGCCCATGACTACCTCTGTACTGTATTCATGTTGAACTGTTGATAAATACCCTTTGTTACATAAGGGTATTAACTTAAACATTCTTCATTTTATAGTTTGTAATGAACTTTTAAATTAGTTATATATCTATTTGTGCAAAAGTTTATATGCTTAGTTTTATGTTTAGCCATATCTAATTTGCATTATCAAAAATTAGACTAATTTGTCAACATTAAGAGTTCATGAGAGTGACTTTTCTCCAAAATGATATATTACCAAAAGAAATGGGGAGTAACTGAAAATATTAGGTGTATAATTCAAAATAAAGCAGTATTTTTAGAAGATTGTTAATGTAATAGTGACAGGCAAGCTGATCTGACTAAAAAAGAATAAGGGATATAAGGAACAGTAAAAGCTTTTGTGTTAGTCAGCTTTTTGCTGCCAGGACCAAAATATCCAGAAAGAACAACTTATAAGAGGAAAGGTGATTTCAGTTCATGGTTTCAGAGGTTTAATCCACAGTTGGCTGAGTCCACTGTTCTGGGTCAAAGGTGAGGCAGAACATCATGGCAGTGGGAAGCTGCTCCATTCATGGTGGCCAGGAACCAAAGAGAGGAAAGAGTCCACAGAAGGTGAACCCTTCCAGGGCACATTCTAGTGACCCACCTCCTCCAGCCATGCCCCACCTGCCTAAAGTTACCACCCACTCAGTCCATTCAAACTAGGGTTGAATGATTAGGTTATAGTACTCATAATCTAATAATTTTACATCTGATATTCCTGCATTAACACAGGAGCTTTTGAAAAACAACTCAGATCAAAACTATGGAACTTTTGAATTCATAGTATGCTGATTGGGAAAACAATAAAAGCCAAGATATTTTTAAATATTTTCTCTTATTTTAGACTCCAGTGTTTAGATGGCAGCAGTCAAAAAGGAAGTGAATAGGGTTGGGGATATAGCTCAGTTGGTAGAGTGCCTCCTTTGCATGCACAAGGCCCTGGTTCAATCCCCAGCACCACATACACACACACACACACAAAAGAAGTTAATAGAAGCCATTTTTCAAACAAGAAGTAACAGCAGCACTGAACTTCATAGAGTGTGAAGTTGAAAAAAGGGTTAAAAATTACTTCAGGATTTTGAGTCCAGTGCTGGGGTGTAGCTTCGAGGTAGAGTACTTGCCTAGCATATTTAATTAAGGCCCTTAGTTCAATCCCCAGCACCACAAAACTAAATAAAAGATCCTGAATCTAAGAGACTGGAAGACTATTAGCACCTTTAAGAAGAAAACTAGTAATTCAGCCAAATTAGTCAAGGAAAAACAGTGAATTTAAAATTTTAGATAGAAACACAAGGTGCGCTATACAAGCAGTTACAGAGCAGAAACCTGACCAACGGATGAAAGATTGAATAAACTCCATACAGAAAACTGGTGACGTGGGACTGCATCCCAGTACGGTTAGAGAGAGCATGAAGGATGCAGGTAGTTTAGAGTTGCAATGATGAGCACATATAGGGAACAACTATTTTAGCAACTAGTGACTTCTTATTAGAAACAATGCAGACCAGTATACAATTGAATTTTTAAATGTGCTAACAGGAAGAAAAGCTTAAAACTGTCAACTTGAAATTCTATGTCACTATAAAATCTTCCAAGAATGATAGTAAAATAAAGACCTTTTCAGATAAAGAAAGCCAAAGATATTTGTTACCAGCAAACCTGAGTATAAGAAATGCTAAAGGAAGTTATTTCAACTTTAGGGAAAAGAGAAGAAAACAGAATCTTCAGGAAAAAATAATGGTATAAAGGTTAGCATGTGAATAGTACAAAAAAAAAAACATTATTTTTTTCTCTTAATTTCTTGAAAAAAATATATGCCTGATTAAAGTAAAACTTCAACATTAATTGTGGATTTCAAAACCTACGTATTTATAATACACATCAAAAGTACAGCATAAGCCTATGTAGAGAGGTAGTAAGTGGACCCATACAACTAAAAAGTTCCTTTACTATAAGTAAAGTCATAACATTATTAACTCTGAGTGTGAAAACTAAGGATATACATTGTATTCCTTAATGATTATATAAGAATAATCCCCACACCAGCATCATCAACATCATTTTGTGATTCTGTACCACACTAAAGCTTGAAAACCACAGCCGAAGGAAGGAAGGAAGGAAGGAAGGAAGGAAGGAAGGAAGGAAGGAAGGAAGGAAGTCGGGGGAGGGGAGGGAGGGAGGGAAGGTGTTATGGTTTAGATCTAGAAATGTCTCCCAAAGCTCATGCTTTGAAAGCATGATTCCCAATGTTAGAAGGTTCAGAGTGGGGCTTTTAGGCAGTGATGAGAGGTGAAATCTCATCAGTGGATTAGTCCATTTGACTATTTGTGTTAGAGTCTGTAAACAAGTCAGGATGGCGCCTGGCAAATGTTAGAGTCTGTAAACAAGTCTGGATGGCGCCTGGCATTTTGCCAGAGGGAGTGGTTTGTGAAGTAACGCCAGGGAGCCATTAAGTGTGGAGATTCCTTATTGGTTGACTGCTGTATCTAGTTTATGTTAATTAAGATAAGCTGTGTGGAATGTATAAATACCTCTGTTGTCCTACAATAAAGGGCTCTCACTCCTGCTGTATCAATGTACACAAGTTGTTCGTCACCCCCCCCCCCCTTATTTTGCTGCTGCAGCCGTACTCCGGCAATTTGAATGGACTACTACATGGTAATTGGCAAAGTCACTGGGGGCACGCCTGGGGGGTTATATCTTATATCCGGTTTCTCGGGCTCTCTCTGCTTCCTTGCTGCCGTGAACTGAGCAGGTCTTCTCTGCCATGTTCTGCCTCACCTCTGGCCCAGAGCAATGGAGTGGACAGCCATGGACTGAATGTCTGAAGCCATAAGCCCAAATAAACCTTCCCTCCTATAAGTTGTTCTGGTCAGATACTCTGGTCACAGCAATAAAAATCCAACTAATACAATTATGAAAATAGCTTTAACCTCAGAGATTCCTAAAAGGTCTGCTGGCCCCAGAGCCTGAAATTATGTTATATAATGGAATAATCAAAATATTTAATTGGCTCATAAATGTCATTCAGTTAAGTCATTAAATCTATGTATATTAAAATAGGCATAGATTTATATGGGTATACATACATTGTGAAATTTATCTGTTTAGATCTTCTGAATATATAGCATAAAACCCATAAGAGAATAATATAGAATGCATATATAGTAAATTTTGAATCAGATTATCATCACCCCTAGTTTATTGATTATTCAGAATTGAAGATTTCCTTCATTAATCACTTTGATGTTTATCAGATTTGACAGGGCAGAGGAAAAAATCATCACTGACTATATATTAACATTTTAAGAAAATGTTTTATAGAGAGAACAACATTAAGAGAAAATTTAACAAGTTAGATGAATAATATTTTTTAAAATTAAAAATATATAAAAAATTGGTTTGTATAGCTAATAATCTAAGAGTTTTGTATTTCCAAAAGTCTCTACATCAAAATCTATGTGAATTAACATAATCTGATGTCAAAGTCTTGCCTGGAATCTTGAGATTTTCTTTGTGTCATACTATACCCTACAGTTACCTGCAAAACCTCAAAGCAAACCTGTAGCCAATGAATACACCCACATACTGTGGGGAAAGACCAAAAAACACCTTAATCATCAGTGTTCACCTTCTCCTGGCAACAGCAGGGTATAGATGACAACAAAACCCTATTCACAAGCCCATGAAAATCACGCTTTGATGAGCAAAACAGTTTATAAAACTGAAATTTACAGAAGCAGCCAGGCTACTGTACAGGCAATTCACCCTGACCTGAGGCTTCACTCCACAATCCAGATAATGAACAGGAATGAAGTGAAAATGAAGGATGGGAAGAAGCAAAAAGATTTCTACAGAAAAAATTTCAATTGTATATGTGCAAGAACTTGTGAAAAGAAGTTTTAATCCTGACATAGCCAAGAGTGCTTGAA